AAGTATTGGGAAAGCACATGGATAGCAACCACAAAGTAAATGATCTGTATAATATCTGAAAGTAAAATTAAAAATTCAAAATAAATTCAGAATCACTAATTTTTCTTGCACAAAATAGCTCTTTATATTACGGTAAAAGCTGCTCTGGGGAGCAGATTGGTCCAAAAATTATGTTTATCCAGTAGCCACCAGGACGATAAAGAAATTCACTTTCCATTTCATGGGTAAGCATTTTACCTTTCCTAGAAAACACACAGAAAATTTTTTTCCTCTCTAAGCCACAGACACAGGAAAAAAATCCTCTTAACAAAAAGTCAATCTGCTGTGTAGATACTGCTTTCCTGGGAAAAGATGAGAAAACAAATCCTGGAAAGATCACTATGTCCAGTGTTACACTTCTGGAAGGCACATAAGATACTGCTGGAATGAAACATGGCAAAGGAACAGACAAAATGCTAAAAGCTCTGCCTTTTTAAATTAACCACACAGATGTTGTGATACTTGTGATTAAAACATAAATATGGGGTCTTTTAGCTGCATTTCACACTCCCTTAAATTAATCATGAATGTTTGGCAAGAAAACAAGATGTCTTTTCTTCTGGGTGCTGTGTCACTAGAAATAGGCAATAGTACATCTGTCCTGTATTTCAAGGAATTTCAATATATTATGTCAAAGTATAGCAATTTGCTGCTTTCTGTGATGGTTTATGTCATACTCTGGCTTGCCAAGTTCTCTGGCATTCAGGACTTCAAAATGGAAATTGAAAAACATGAACAAGATATAAACCACCAAAGCTCACACACAAGTTTACAAATGGCTGAATTTTGAGACAATTCCCTTTAATATGTGATCCCATACCCCTGATAACCACAGAACTGACTGGGCAATTTGGCCAAATCAATTTAGGCAAGGACACCTTTCCTTAAACCAGGCTGCTCAAACAGCACACAAAGACAGTGTGCACCTTCCCTAGGGGGGAAGCCTAAAACATCTGGGTGGCACAGGCTTCATTGTTTGAAGATGAAGTGCAAGACAAAAACCTTTCCCCATTATTGCTTTATCAAATAACTACTTCAATGTATAAGACACATCATAACTTTATGCTGGTTTTGTGGTTTTACTTTTCACACTTCCAAGCCAGACACAAAGCTCCTGTTTTAAACCAACTAAAGTGTGCTGAAAACTGGAGGTTTTCTTGGTTCAGCTACATGGGCATCAAAATAAAATTCACTCAGCCTAGACTGACTAGATGCTGTCTCTTTCTGGGAGGGGGCTAATATATTGTCTTTAAAGTATGATTAGGATAAGGTAATTACAAGCGAGAGTGAAAAGTGGTTTTATACCTCTCAGAATTTGATTTTCCTTAACTTTTCAAGAAGTGAACATAACAAAATTCCATATACTGCACTCCATAAAATCTCACATGGTAATTAAGCACCACTGGACCATGATACAGCAAATCCTAGCCCTGCACATTGCATTCATTAATGCAGCTTCATTTACTTTGGAGCAATTTAGAGGTAAACAATGTAGAACCACAAAAAAAATAATTTTATCTAGAAACAGAGTAATTATAAGAAATTTATTTAAAATAGAAATATCCAATGAAGAAGGAGCATTAGAATGAATTAAAAATGAAGTTTTGCCAGTTTTGTTGGGTGGGGTGAAAAAAGATGGGAACATTAACCCATAACAAATAAGGATGGAGTGATCCACAAGAAAACTGGTTATTACCTCAGAAATCCAGATTCTTCTCTGTAACTCCTTCTTGCATCCACCTACTACTTTCCAGCTCATTTATGCACATCTCATAAGGGCCACCTTTGCATATTTACACCTTCCCTCCCTAGAGATAGAACCATATCATCCTAGGAGTGATTCCAGTTACAAGAGAAGTGCTGCAGCCCACAGAGCTGTTGATCAGGTTAAGCCAGGGAGAGAGCTCCCATTACAGCAAACCTGCAGCAAAGCTGGGAATTGGCCCATCCATGTGCAGCATCCTCCCATGTGGAGGGGAGGTCACCCTTGGTCCTTTTCCAAGGATCTCTCCATCTCTTGTCATGCCAGAAGGAAGAGCACAGCATGAGAATCAAAGAGGATCCAAGTACAACTCTCAGCACAGGAGAGTGGATGGATACCAAGCATAAACATTGCTGCAGTCAATTTACCAGACAAGAATGTGAATTATCTTGGACCTGATTCAAGCAGGATATAGAGGTCAAATCTATGGAAATGTTTGCATCCTGCAAAACTCTAAGAGAGAATGGAATTATGGTGAGACTCAGAGCCTACCCTGCACAACAGAGCAGACTGAAACAGAGAACACACTTTTGATGATATAGAAATTTGGGAGGAAATATCTACACTCATTATCATGTACACAGAGGTAAAAAGAAAAATCAAATTAATAACTAAATATCCATTATTACAAGTATCCAAACACTGGGATCAGAGCCTTTCAGACCTTCTGCCTCTCCCCTCTGAACAGCTACTTGCCAGGGTGAAAAATTCAATGTAATGAGATCAGCTTTGCTATTTTAGTCTCAAAAGTGCAGATGGAGCATATGCCTGTAGATAGTAATATTATCTGTATTACTGCAGTGTCTGAAGACCCCAATCAGACATAGGCCATTGAACACTTAGAAAATTCTCAAAGAAAATTCCTGCCAAAAACAGTTCACTATGTGCACTAAGGGAAAAACGCAACCTGTGAATTTAATTAAACCAGTGGAGATAATCACGGAGAGGAAGCATGTAAAAGAATTGTAGATGAACACACAGCTACTGTCAACTTTGACAAAATCCTGCAGAAGACCCATAAGCCTGTGCTGAAGGGTTTGTTTGTTTGAAACAAACAAAAGTAAGTTATGCTTTGCAAAACAGTTCTTTCAATCTTTAAATTAGATTTTAAAAATATCAGAGTCCATAAATGTTAGCTGGCCACCTGCTTACTTTGAGAGGACCCTCAATCAGCTGTGGTAATAAGAACATCGCCTCACATTATGCAAATAATATTTAAACCACAGAGTTCTGCTGAAGGTTTGTGATCCCTGTCGATGGAAGGTCACATCCAGCCCCCAGGCACACGAAACCTCTGTTGTTCACTGCACAGTAAATACACAGCACACAGACCAGAAGGAAGTGTCTTCCTGGATTTCATGCTCAGTCCTCACTGTACAGGCCCATCACACATGGATTTTGTTTATTAAGCTCTACCACATGAAGTCCACACAGTGAAAATTGTACTCAGATGACAACATAATCTATCTCCATCGTCTTCAGAACTTCCATTCAAAGAGAAGAGTTTGGGAACAGGGTCAGACAATGTCCTGCAAACTGCATCAAACCAGGCTTATTTGCTTTAAAATATCATGGTCCAGTCTTCACTGCGGGATAGCATGGTTTTAAAGAGTGGTGTAATTCATGGTGTGTTTATCATAAAATGACACATACTTTGAAGTATTATTTTTCAATTATGCAGGAAGTGGAGTAGGAAGTAATTTATGGTGTGAAATCTGTCCTTATCTTCAAGAGTCATTGGCAGATACAGTGGAACTTAGGGACTTGAATGTCATTAGGGACAAGAGTGACTACATAACCAGTAATCACTGCTAATCTAGTAGCTGGCAAGGTGACATGCAGCTACCATAGTAACCAGCATAAGATCAACTGTTTGTTTCCAAAAAGTGCCTACACTTCACTCAGCTACTTGGCATGTTTTTTAAAGTCATGACAGAGAAAATAAAAACACATCATGCACTTTAGAACTTGCATCTTTCCCTGCTTTTCTTTAACAGAGGAGAGAATGCCTCAAAATAATAATTTCACTGGTTTTACTGAGAATACCCCAATACTGAGTAGAAGATAAAGTTTCTGGAGCCATATAACATCAGTAACATCCCCATCTCTCCTACCTAGGAAGAGTGCACAACAAACAGCAGAGAGACAGCAGGCACCCTTAGGGAGAATCCCCTTCAAAGCATTTTTGCACAGGCTGCACACAGATTATTTCATGCAGCAGAGTACAAGGAGATGTTCACATCTAAAGGTGATACACCTAACACACTCATACCCACTCCAAGTAACTACAGCTAATTATTAACCACCACCCTTGCTCTTTGCACTTTACAGACAGCTCTATCCAATCACATTTATATTAAACTCTCACTCACACAGAACTCCAGCATTCAACAAGTCTCAACATCTTCGTCAGGGGGCTAAAAATCTAGGAAGAGAGGAGGGCAAGCCACAAGACAGAGTCAGAGGGACACTCTGGGCTGAAGTGGAAAGGACACAGCTGTTCTGGCTTCCCATCCACTGTGCAACCACTTATTTCAAATCTATACCTACAGATTTCTGGGGGCTTTTTTCCAGTTTCCACACAAGCTTAGGGCAAACCCCAGGGAAAGGAAAGGGAAGGCTATAGCTAACAGGTTTATATTTTCAGGAAGGAATGAGCCTTGTTAGGGAAAAAGCTTTAGACATTACATTAAAAACTTCTATACAAGTAAGTATCTCGAGGTAGACATTTAAATTACTCCTGTGGGATGTTTGTCAGAGAAAATCCAGCTTGCCTTATGGCAGTGCTAATCTTCTCATATCTGTTTCACTTTTTATCCTTGCACCTGCCTGTATTAACAAGATTAAGAATTAAGCTGGAAGAGGGCTGTCTGTCAGGGAATACCAATTAATCTATTGATTTAACCATCAGAATAACAACCAAATGGAGTTCCTGGCCCAGGCAAACAGAAGGTTTTTATTGCATTATAATTCAAAATCCAAGTTGTGCTTGTGGCAGGCTATGTCACCAGACTGCAGAGGAAACAATTAGGAGAGCAGAAGACACACTGGCGTTTTCTTGTGAAAGGATTCTTACTTAACTCTTATGGCCAAAAGGAAGATTTTGCATGTGATCTTGCCACAGAAGTCTAAGAAAATAAGAATTTCTGTTTTCCAAATCACTGGCAGATCCAACCAAAGTCATTTAGGGAGTGTTTAAACAGGAGCGCACATGCTTATCTTTGTGAAACCAGGCTCCATTCGCAGAGCTCACATCTCATCTCAAATCACAACTCTGAGCTGCGTTACTGCTAAGTTTCCACCTAGCTCCGAGCAGAACCTGCTAGTTCAGGGAAGTTTCTGCACTTGCAGCAGACTTGGCCGTATTTATTAAAATAAGCTACCACAACCTACAAGACAGACAACTCAAAAAACATCCATGTACCACAAACCCACTAGCTGAGAATGAATGAATGGGGAAAAGACTGCAGCAAAATAAGTAGGTTTTTTCCAACCTGAATGCCCCAAAAGTAGTGCTAAGGATCAGATTCTTGGAGACACCGAAATGTTCGTTATCCCAAAGCTTTTTCAAAGTTTTGCAATTTATCCACTTTGCTAACGCGCTGAAAGCAACTGCTGTGACAGGCCATCCCGAAGTTTGAGTTAATCAGCTCCATGCTAGAAGATCAGATCGCAAATAACAGAGAACTCACAGAACAGTTTCACTCGCTGAAAGAGACAGAGTGCAAACACACACAAAGTATGCACGGAAAGCAGCAAGGAAGTGACAAACGGAGCTGAAAGAGACCAGGTGACAAACCGAGCTGAAAGAGACCCGGTACACAAACGGAGCTGACACAGACCCGGTGACAAATGGATCTGAGCCCTCGGAAGGCAGGCACAGGACAGTGACTCGATACCAGTGACAGCCCAGGGAACAAACGCCGCTTGTTCCCGGCTGGCCGCACTTCCGCCTCCTCCCCTCCCATTCAATCCCGGCGCTGCCGCTGCTCCCTCCATCCCCAAGCCATGCGGGCTCCAAATACTTTCACCTCGGAGAGGGAAGCAGGCTGGAGAAAGCATGTGATCACACGGTAAGTTTATGCTTCTGTTTGCTGGCATGAAGGGGGAAAACCCGCTATCAAATAGGCTGCTTAATTAGAAAATGCGGTTAAATGCTAAGTGTAATTGTGCGGAGCATGTGGATCTGGAGCAGATTGAGCAGGGGAGTGTGTGCTTAAGGAGCAACTGGGACAGCTGTGGACATCTGCAGCCGTTGCTTTAAGAGCAGTAAATGCTGCATGGTTAGAAAAATAAAATAAGTTGCCCGTTTTGTCCTCTGTGCTGGAAGTCTGTTGCCCAAATGCTATTGCTCCTGAGGGAATCCACCGCAGACAAAGCTGAGACACCCCGGAGCCCCTCTCCCCCCTCCCCTTATTCGGTACGCACTTCTCCTGCCGCTAGCTCACAGTTCTGACAATGCAGGGAGAAGGGAAAGAATGGCAGAGGGAAGCAGAGCACAGCTGTGCGTTGCAGAATCTCTCCATATTCATTTGCCAAACAAAGCCAGGACTCCAAAAGACAACGAAGATGCATTAGGACTGTACCAAACCCACGCCTCTGAGCAGCGAGGGGCTCTCGAACAATGCATTCAAGCAACAGATAGAGATTTACCTTCAAAATGCAGGCCATGTTCTCTCTCTATCCTTCCTACCAAAGAGCTGCAGGATTCTACTTTGTGAGCAGCAGTTCCAGTGTCAGGCAAGAGGCTGGCAGAGCCGCAGAACTGCTGGAGCCTACATTCCCGTAGATCCAAACGAAGGTAGCACGCACCCAGGATCCGTTAGTCATATTAGTCTTTTTATGCCCCGTTCGTCCCACCCATCAGCTCCTCCACTGGCTGGGAGCCAGCCCAGCACCTCCCCTCCGTCACATGACCGAGTTTGATTCATGGCTCCGGAGTGTTTTCCCGAGCTGCGGGACGTGCGAGCGGCAGGCTGCAGCTTCAGGGGCTCTGCGATGCCCGTGTTTGTGATCGGTCCCTGTGCAGCCCTCCCGGTGCTGCTGACAGTCGGGCACCGAGGTCCGAGCTGCCTCTGCTTTTGGGGCTGGAAAAATCCTTATGCTGCTTGTTAGAGTGCAGTGTGGTGTTACATTCGGCCCTTTTCACTGTACAGCAGGCTTCCCTTTGTCTAAATTGCTGCCCTGTGAGAAATAATCATGATCAGCAGCCCAAATGTCCCAGCAGACGCGTTTGCGTGGTGCTGTGCGCGGCTTTTCCAGTGAAGAGCTGGCATCCGTCACAGGGAGTGAAAGCTTGCGTTCGATTGTGAGGGTTTTTGCTTGTGCAACTTTCTTTGGACTTTCCTAAGATAAGAAAGTGGGGTAAAGTGCAGATGAATAAATTCAGCTGTTGAAGAAATATTTCACTTTACATAATCTCATCAAATTCAAATTATTCTCTTACATAACATACTCTGTATATCATAAAGCCTTTACTTCATATTTGTCACTTCTCCTGCAGTCTCTTTCTCCCCTTTTTACACTTTCTCAGTACTTCTCATTACTTCATCTTGGAACCCTTTGCATTTTCTGTACTTGGCACCTTCCCTGTATTCCTTTTGTGCCACATTGCTTCACTCCTGCTGCTTTGGTACCAAAAGCTCTCTGGCTGCCTTAATAAATTCCTTGTAGTGGGTGTCCTTACCCTGTCTGCAGCAGCTCGGGTACCTGTTTCCATGCTGGCAGTACCCTGCAGCTCAGGTTAAGGAGCCATTTACCACAGAGCCCCTCAATGGGTGGGATCCAGAAGGGGTTGGTGCTGGGCTGCACATTTAACCAATATTCCCAGCCTGGAAGCCTCTCCTATCCAGGTGCAATCCCTCAAGACAGTAAGGAGGTTGGAACTAAAGGATCTAGATGTCCTCACTTGTATGCAGGGGCAAATCCTCCCCGAGAGCAGAGCAGAAAGGGCCTGGAGGGATTTCTGCTTGGCTGCCTTGCTGTGCATTTCCAGAGAAGATGCCAATGTGTGTTTGGCCTTTGCAAAGTGCTGTGCTCTTACACAGGTCCTGCAAACTCCTGCAAAACCTCTCACCACTGGAAATCCACTTCCTTGTTCAATTACAGACACAGGCCAAAGCTCTTGAGCTGAAAATTGTAGTCTTGCTGGGAAGACTGATGAAAAATAACTTAATGAAGTTTCTATCTGTATTAACTAACACAAAGAAATATCTAAATGACAAGTCAGTGGAAGAAGGTGGTAAAAGAGGGATTTACAACATTTTCTATTAGAGGCTACCACCAACCAGTGTTAGATCATTCTGGATAGCAGTTTATGTGTATTTAAGTACTTGTTATTCATAAGGAGCTCTGTAACAAAGCTGTTTCTTACTGAATAAGATAAACAAATAATTATTTCCTGAATAAAAAATAACTGCCTATTTTTCTCTCCAGCAGTCAAGAATCTTGTTTTCCTTGGAGTGAAACTATTCTTTTTACCTGTGAGAGGACATGAAAGAAGTTTTCATCTGAGGCAAATGAAAAATATTCCACCCCCTTCCCACCACTATCCACCACACCAACTCTGTAAAAAATAAAAGGAATGAGGCTGGAGAGAAACCATCCTGAAAAGGTCAGCCATTTCAACATGTCCAATGCATTGAGGGATTTCCAGTGAATTATATTCCTTGGAGAAAGGCAGAGGCATGGGTAGTTGTCTTGTTTTAAGCATCTTTGACATGCTTTGATTTTAAACATCATAACAGGCAAAATGTGGTGAACTTTAACTTTTAGACTTTTTGTAAATAGATATTTATCTTAAAAATGCTTCATTAGTATGAACAGCAACAGCCATCCTTCTCTCTTTCTTTCAGGAGAGATATGAGATTTCACTTCGTTTTCTCCTTGGAGCAAAACTGAAGGTGGCTGAGATCACCACAAAGAGCAACAGGAAGTCCAGCCTTAAACTGAGCTAATTTCACCTCAGAGAAACTACACAAGGAAAGGCATCCACCAAATGATAAAAGCAAACAGCCACTGGAAGCACATCATTCCATGGGTCTCATGAAGTGCTTTACCTGAACTTATGATACTCTTGAAATCAGCTTTAGGCCAAACATAGCTCACATGAATTTCAGTCATGCTTGTAACTTCCCATCCAAAATTAACACAGCTGTTGCCTGGTGGGGATGTCAAAGGCAGTGTGAATCTGCCTTTCAAGTCTGAGTCATTGTGACAGGCCACACAAAGTCACTACTTCTCGTGCTGAGGACAAAGACCTTTAGTTCTGGGGACAAAGACCTTCCATGTTTTCCATTTAGTCCAAACCCTTCTGATACATTCTTATGGCGACTTAACCCTGGGGGAAATACGGTTGTGTGGGCAGCAGCCCTTTGCAATTCTAACTCTTAAAAACTAATTCTGTCATAAGGAATCAGTCCTTTGTGGAGAAAGCTGATTAAGCCTTAATTTGCAGAGGTTAATACAGCTACAGAATCCCAGCATCCAAGCAGGGGTTGTGGTGCCAGTGTGGGTAGTTCTGCTGGGCAGGCTGTGCCAGGAGCAGTTGGTTTGTTTGGTGCCTGGACACCCTGGCACTGATGAAGCTGCACTTTCACCTATGGTAAGAACTTCAAAGCCAAAACCTCACAGATTTAAACAGAAAGGTAATTTTTTAGTCCCACATCTGTATTTTAAAAGTGCAGCCTTGGAGAAAGTCTGTAAGCTGTCGTCTCACTGATCATTGAAATCAGACTCTGGTTCATATAGAGAAGATGTGCCAAAAAGGAAGAACCTATTCTTGCACTTGCTGCCACTACAAAGTTTGATCAGACGAGGATGACACAAGGTGGCATTTTTCACCCTTCAGGTGTAACCTGAGTCAGTGACAGAGTAACAGATCCTCTCTGCTCTTATCCAGAGGTCTCATCTTCCCAACCTTCTGTGCCAACCCTCTCCTTACCTCATGTAACACACCACTATAAGAAATTTAAGGTACCCAGCAGCCCAATGCCATGGCAGAGGTAGAGGATGAAATTATTAAAAAACCAGCAGGATAAGATTTGAACAGGAAATCTTACCAGGTTATCCAAATGCTACATGAAATTTTAATTTAAAACTCTTAATGAAGCTGATTTTCCAGGTAAGAAAAAAAGGCTTAATCAAGCCTGACTACTTCATTTTAGAGTCGAACCTCTGCTACATTCTGGAGTGCAGAAGCTGAGGAGAGCAGGTGGGGCTTGTTACAGCCTAAATTTTGCTGTTACTTTTCAGAATATCCTTACAGCTTAAAGCAAGCTTGCCATGTGCACATTATTGAAATAATCAGTATATATTGCCCTGCCCAGCTTCCTTCTCAGCACAATTTCTCTGAGCTTTACCCAGCTACAGGAAAACCCAGATCCATTTAAAAAAAAAGTTTTAGTCACAGAATACTTCCACATGTCTCAGTGGCAGGAGACAAGGATTGCTTGGCACCATTCCTGCCATTGGAAATTCAGCTCATCACCTCACTGTTATTCAGTGTCATGGTAACAATTTAGCACAGCCACACAGCGCTTGCAGACCTTGCACGTTCTGGTGTTCCCCCCAGCCCCATTCTAATGCACACACACACACTCTCAAACCAAAGCTTCCCAACTTCCTTTCAGCTAAACATTCTTTAAAAAAAAAAAATTAAAAATTAAATCAAGTGTTTGCCATACCTAACAATCCATGAAGATTCAGAGATTAGAACGCAAAGGTCTGTAGAAGTTCTTGGAAGCAGAAAAAAGCAAGCCCTACAAATCAGTAATCTTTTCAGACTGTTCACATTTTATTTTCAATGCTTGCTCATCTGAGAGCTTCAGGTTTCTGTTTTCAAAGATGGTTATTAACCAGTGATCATTTTACACTGAACCACAGATTATTGGGACTTTTTTGTATAAATGAAAAAGTGTATATCATCTGTTATTTGTAATTTACTTTTTTTTAATTACATGTGCTTTAACAGAAACAATGGCTTTTTTTTAATGCAGGGGGAAAAATATGCAGAACAAAACAAAAACCCCACATGTTTAGAAAAGAACAGTGTCTCCCAGACAGCTTTCCTCTAATTAAAACAGGCTAAACAACTCTGAAGAGTGCTGTGTCTGCTTATGCCACTAGATGTTTTGTCCATATAAAAATAGTAGATAATCAAATGTATGAATTGCTGCAATCTCCAGGAGAAGAAAACCCACCAGTAAATATTCTGAAGGGTGTTCAAAAGCTAAATGATGTGTTTGAAAATGCTCTGTCATTTGCAGGTAGCTGCTGAATAGAGGATATGGTTGGTCCATAGGTATTTCTTGTACATTCTTCAGTAAAGGATGGATTTGGTTTCTCCGCTATAAAGTTTTTGCATTCTTTGCTGTGTTATCAATGCTTTACACTCCCACTATTTTTATGAGCTATAACTAACATCACAAAAATACTGATAGTGTTTCACACTGAGATATGGCCATGTCAGTTTATCCTCTAATGAGATTTTATCCTGGAGGATACAGTTGGGCACATAAAAGGAGCTTAGGAAAAGGAACCAGCCAAACTTCAATCATGGCATGGAAAGCCTTAAATTGGAACACAATTTAAAAGCAGCATTTCAGCTTAGGAGAATGCCTCCCCCTGAACTAAAGAAGCAGAGACACCCTCTCCCTTCCCAAGGCTTTATCTAATGTTTCATCGCACTTGAAAGGAAAAGCTTCAAAGTGCAGCAGAAAGGACAAATATATTTAATTCAGGAGTGAATTAATTTTGGTGCAGGGCAGGGGAAGGAAGGGTGAAATTTTACACCACTCAAGTGACATGGAGAGGGTCTCAACCCCAGCAGTGTCAGATCTGAGCCACCTTGTTCAGCAACATCCCACTCACACCATCACAAAACAAGATATAAACTACCCCTGAGTGCAACTGGTGGTCTTGCTTCAGGAAATTATATAAATTAGCATTATTTTATCATACTATAAATCAATCTTTAACATGGTTACAATAATTTTAGGAATAAAAAAAGTTGGGTTTTGTTTGGTTTTTTTTTTCCTGTCTTGGATATATTTTGTTCAGTTATGGCCACAATGTTTAGACATGCAGAAAAGAACTGGATTTGTGCAACCACAAAAGTAAGCAATATTTTCTCAGTAGCAGAGGTGTCATATGGGGAGTTTTACAGAAGATGGTCAGAAGGTCACAAAAAACACCTATTCCTGGTTTTAAACCTCATTCTGTATTTTATTCCTGAGTTATAAAACCAATTGAACTATACTGAAATCCAACTCTACTCCTTCCATTAAAATTCTCTCAGTGAAATTCTCTTTGTGGCAAATTTAATGTCTTACCTAGCCACAGCATGAGCAACAGCAAAAGCTGCTTATAGATCTGGAATCATGAGCTTTACTCCTCTGAATCCCAATAAACTGCTACCCTACTGCCCTGTTAAACCCACACTCTCCTTGGAGCCCTCAGAGCCTCTAACCAGCCATCATGCTGTGCCCTAGTGCCAACAGACCTTGCTCCACTGGGTATAAAGTGAAGAAAATACATTGTTATTGAAGTTGTTTTCAGCCATAAAAGTTGCCATAGCAAAGCATTGCCATACTTTGAAGAGTCCACCTCAAACTATTAACATACATTCTCAAGGAAAACACCTTTACATCTTTTCAAACATCTGACAGCTCTCATACAAATTTTTAACAAAATCTATCCCATGCAATTGTTTTAATTAACAATTTTACCAGTTTACAGCTGACAACAGTCTTGCCTTCAACAGCTGCCTACACTGCTGTGTAATAGTGAACAGGAAGATAAAAAGGTGCATTTATAAGGGGATCTTAAGGTGTTTAATAAATTAAAGAACTTGTCAATACTGCCTTGTTGGACCAAACAGCAACCTTGAAATCCAAGTTGCAGCACTGAACACAAGACTAAAGAAATACAGAAATTGAGCCTGAGTATACAGAACTCTGGGTTTCATTTCCTGGTCACAGCATTCTTACCCCAAAGGAAGTTTTGGGGTTGCAGGTGGTTGTTTGGTTTTAGGTTTGTTTGGGTATTTTTTAGTCGGAGTAAGGAGCGAGATTTGGGGTTTAAGGTTTTTTTTTTTCCATTTGTCCACTCTTTTCTAGTTCAAAGGATGAAACTTGCAAAAGATGAGTTTGAATCAGCAGTACATGAATATGCCGTTTCCTACAGGATCACTGCTTCATTTACTAGAAAAAAAGCATAGTGCATGAGAAATGGTTTTACAGAAAAGCTGCAGAAGTCTGATGATTTAAATCATTGAAGGCAGCTGTGAAGAGGTGGATTTTGAACTTGTCTCTGACAGAAATCCACTGCAATGGTCTCTGGTTTAATAGCTAGGCACTGGTACTTTCCCTCATTTTCTGGACTCAGAATTTGAAACCACAAGGGCTTATCTAGCAATGCACTGGGTACTTGCAGCTGCAATTGAAGGTAATAAGAGTTACAATCTGATCGTGTTAATTGATACATAATGCTGAGTGCTCTGAAGAGAAAAAAAAAATCTTAGGCACCTGATACTGGACAGCAGCATAAAAAGACACATTAATTATTTTCCCTGTACCTTTCTGTCCTATAAAACAGTAATAATTTTTCATTTCAAGGTGTCATATTACAGTGAATGGCATAAGAGTGTCCATTAGGAAATTAGGCAACCTGTCTTCAGGAAGTGCTTTCACTGTCATGAAGTAACACGTGGCACAGAGCCACACTGGGGCATGGTGGAGCAAACAGAATATGAAATAGCTGCTCTCCACCTGCATCTGGCCAGAACCACTAGAACAAAAACATGTTATTAATCATATAATTTTAAACTATGTTTAGAAAACAATCAGACCAATAATTAAGATATTAAATAATAAATAATGTAAAATAATTAGGGCTGCAGAGGTAA